CTCCCGTGGGTCCCCTCGTCCCCGGGGACACGCGTTTCTCCCCCCCCCCCCCCCCCCCCCAGCCCACGGGAAGGAAAACAAGGGACACGCCCGCGCGGGCGGCCCAGGTCGGAAGCCATTGAGCGTGGGCATATGTATTTGAAATGACATTCTGAGGGTACTCGCACCAATGCGACTGATGCGTTGGCGCTTGGGCGGCGCGGAAGGCCGCAGGAGAAGAAGAAGAAGAAGGACGCCCCGCGGTCCCGCGCTGCACCGGGGGGGCACACGACGCAGGGGGGGGGCGGGGGAAGCAACAAGGGAAGGGCCAAGAGGAGGCGGGGCCCCCGCGCCGCGCACACGCACAAAGACACACGCACAAAGACACACATGTACACATATGCAACCTCCCCCGCCCCTCAGGTCCGGTAGCTCACCGGGCCGTCGGAGTACAGATCGGGCAGGTCCTCGCCGGAGAAGCCGCCCGCGCCGTCACGCACGGTCCAGTACTCGCCGGTGAAGGCAAAGCGCCCGGCCTCGTCGGTCTGGAACCAACGCGGGTTCCACGTCGGCGGGGAAGTGGTACCGAGCTCGGCCATGGCCTGCTCGCGGGCCGCGCGCTGGCGGTTCTCCAGGCGGTCCTTCTCCACTTCGGCCTCCTCGAACTGGCACTCCTCCAGCATGCGCTGGTCCGTGCGGAAGCGAGTATCCGTCCGGGGCAGCAGCTCCGGACACTGGTTCGGGTCATTGAGGCCCACCGCGAACTCCGAGAAGCCGAACTGCTGGAGGTGGTTCGCCGGCGGGGGGGTTGCCCGCCAGATGACCTCGCCATTGGCCAGCTGGGGAGCCGAGAACTGCAGCGATTCGTCCCACCGGCCGGAGAGGGTGCCAGCCGGACAGCTGTGCCAAGCAGGTGGGGGGAGGGAGGGGGGACCGACCCATGCACACGGGTGCGGCGCACGCATGAACGGAGAGGCGCGCGCGCGCATATGCCGCCAGAGGAGAGGGAACGGGTAAGTACACGCACAAGCAGGCAGGGGCCACGGCGCGCCGAGAACAAGGAGCGAGGCAGGACTGGCGGAAAGACACAGTAGGCAGGGCAGACAGGCAGGTAGGCAGGCGAAGAGCGCACCCTGGCACGGACAGCTGTCCGGTCACTTCGTTCTTGTTGGCAGACGCGCTGGCGCCGCCGCCCCAGAAGCCGCCACCGCTGGCAGCGACAAACTCGATCTCGGCCACAGCACGCCCGGTGGCCAACTCGCTGGCCACCACCATGGTGCCGTGATGCTCGATCGAGCGATTGGCACTCAGGGCATTGCGCAGGGTGGAGGTCACGCGCTCCCAGCTGTAGCGCTCGGTGACCGGGGCACCGCCGGGGCCGGCCGCCACGTGCAGGTCCAGGAACACCGTCCCGCCATAGGACATCTCGATGGACCGGCCGCCGAACTTCTGCGTCGGGCGGAGATCCTGCCACATGGTGTAGTTGATTGAAGAGCAGTGCGTGGCCACGATGAACGGGTGGTGCGAGACCTTCTCACTGAAGAAGCGGAACCCCGGCCCGGCCGGGCCCGGCCCGGCCGGCTGGACAAACTCGAAGGTCTCGCCCAACAGCGGGTTGAAGGGCTTCCGGTTGAAGCGCACCGCCGTCCGGGCATAGCTGGATACGGCAAAGGCCGACACCAGAGCCAGACGCCGAAGGGGATTGTCGGACGAGGCAGCCTGCCAAGCGGGATGGGCGTGCACATATGCATACAAACACACGAGGAGCAGCAGGGACCGTGAGTGATGGCCAGGCCCAGGGAGGGGGAGGGGGGCGGGGGGGGG